GGGTCTCAAAGGTATCTTGTAATGTGGCCTGTAAGTGCCACTGACAGGCAGATTGGGAAGAAAATGACGGCACAGAGCACATTGGGTCTAAATCCTAGAGATCTTGCTTACCCTTGTGGACACCACTGCCCAGCCCCATGGTAGCCACCGAGCCCTTTCTGTACGAACACAGAAACCTTCCCCCAGCCCAGTTCTTCTTTTATGGACCCGAAAGGCTGTTCCTGTAACGCTGTTTGTCAGCAGCATTTCCACAGGGCGCTTGCATCAGCATTCCTGTGCCACCAGCCTGCCCGCTGAAGCATAGTATATTCTGCACTTTATATTCAAGGCAGCCGAGTGCTTCTCCTTCCTTTGAGTGGCATCCTGCCACCCATACATTACGGAGAGAGCAAAACTCGGAGGAATCATTGAAGCTAACCATACATTACATGCATGATGGGCTTACCAGATGTCATTTCTTACATTGTTATGGTTTCATAAACTACACTGACATTGTCATTATGCTCAAAAATTTGATCCCACTCTGCTATTCTTAAAATGGATGATTCTGAAGGTTGTTGCATTAACAAATAGGAGTATGCAGGAAGGTAGATTTGCAACAGGAGTTTGTGAATGACTGGGTTATAACATTTGCTGGAAAATGGCATGACAATTGATTCATTGCTGGAGACAGTAACAGAAAAGGCAATGCAAATTCAAAGGTTAAAGGATCCATAAAGCTTTAAGGAGAGATTTATTACAGTAGGTGGACATATTTTGCTCAGAAACTGGAATTGCAGCTGCCTTCCCTGTATTTATGAGACATTTAATTAATCAGTCATAACAAGCATGTTAAAAACTAAATATCTCTTATTAAGATCTACATTTGTCTCAGTACTTTCTTCGTTTCTGCTTGTTTGTGATAGCAGACAAATTCGCTTCAGATACAAGAAGAAGAATCAGCCCTTTTCAGCAGGGCTTGCAACCCAGAGCACCCAGAACTTGGGAAAAGAGAAAAACAAACAACAAAAAGGGAGATGCTTAACATATATGGGGAAACCTTGTGCTTGCATCCATATTGTCTGAGAGGGGGAGCTCTGGATGTGGATGACCGGGGGGCAGCAGAGGAGACAGTGAGCCCACAGGCAGTGGCATCACGGATCTGCTCTTCACCAAAAATGGGGAATTTGAAGCAGGGAGGTGCAGAGACTTTGCTGAGCAGTGCTGACAGGCACCGCAGAGAACTGCAGTGGGGAGCTCAGTCTTGCTCCAGTTTCCAGTCGTACATCACAGAAATGTCTGTCACCTCCCTGACCTCCGTGAAAACTGGAGCTACTGAGCATCTCTAAAATAAGGCTGGGATGCCTGCAGGCAACAGGCAAATGCAGAAGTAGGGCCAGTTTCTTGACAAGCTTGTCTTTAGAAAATGCACTGATTTCTGCAGGCCCTTCCCCATTTATACAGTCAGGGAATTTGGCCTTGTGCCTTTCTAGGAGGACAAGGACTGGGTATTTGGGGTTCTTTTCTTTTCTTCTCTGCTGGCTTCCTCCCTCTCTTGTCTCGCAATGAATACACAGAGGACTGCAACAAGGAGCACAGAAACAAGAGAGGACCCCAACAGCATACATTATTAACAATGTCTGCATTCTTTAGTGTCCTTGCTGCTAAAATTAACACAGCCCGCATGGCACCCTGCCAAACCGAGCAAAGTATGCGTCATAAACAATACAGGTGGGTGCGATCTCAAACCATTTGTCTGCTCCTGTAAATGTCCCATCACGTCCTTCTCAGCTTAATAATGCCCTGGCTAACTAAACTGAGTGATAGTTTTCACAGGCTAATAACGACTCATTTGTCACAAAGTCTGACTTTCATTTGCAATAGCATCATAAATTTTCTGCACTATATGGCATGCCTGAAAAGCAAATGCTTTTTTTTTTTTTTTTTTTTTTTCTTACTCTTGTAGCCATAGTATCATGTAAATTTTTTTCTGTAGGTGTCCAAAAAAGGATCTGGAAAAATCCCACCTTAAGAGGAGTGCAGAAACCTGCTCCATTGCCTCATCATGAAGCACGGGATAAGCCCAGTAAGCTCTCCATTTCTGGAAATAAAGATCTGAGTCTGTTAGGGAAGTTAGTATAGCAGAAGGCTGAAGTACCAAAATAGGTACCCCAAAAAAAAAAGGTCAGAAATGGTGGAGGACTCAGATCCTTTCCCAAAAGTCCCAATTTAAATCTAAAGGAAAACTGGGTTCCCAGGCAAGCTTGTGCAGAAAACAGAAAATGCTATCAGGATATAATGTGGAGTGGCAAATTTTCTTGCAACACTCAGATGCCTACCCCATGTTAAGAGCTTTCCCTGGTTCATGGGTGTGTGTGGGTGCTGATGCATTTGCATGAAAAGAAAAGGTGTCAAACTTAGCCTGCCAGCCTGGTCTGTCATGTAATTCCCAGCTACTGAGCTCTGTCAGTTCTCATCATCAGGGATGAAAGGTGTAGAAAGATGTTGAAGACCAGACCTGGATGCAGGGAGGAGTTGCTCCCTGGAGCATCTTCAAAGAGGCAGGGAGTCATTTCCAGCCCTGTGCAAAACCACCTGCTCCTGAAGCTCTCTGGACCTGAGTTACTGCACTCATTTCAGGCTCAGCAAACCATGCTTAATCCACCTACATCCTCCAGCTCTGGGTGGTTTAGAGCTCCCCAGACAGGCAAAGAACATCAGAAGAAAAATGGATATTCTGATTGATGGAGTTAAAGGATTCTGCCCTGTTTCAGAGGCAAACAAATGGTCCTTGGTCTTTGCTGGCAGGGCATTGTCAAATGGGGGACCAGAACTGCCAGGCAATAAAAATCAGAATTATCACGGAATTAGTGGGACTAACACAGATTTCTAACAGTCAGGAGTCCGGGGAGGTCCCTCCTGACTGGAAACTAGCCAGTGCTATACCCATCTACAAAAAGGGCATGAGAAAAGACCCAGAAAACTACAGACCTGCCAGCCTAACCTCAGTCCCTGGAAAAAATATGGAGAAGACTTTCCTGGGGGATATGGAAAGGCACTTAAAGAACAAAGCTGGTATCAGGCATAGTCATCATGGGCTCATCAAGGGAAAGTCCCGCCTCCGTAATTTAATCTTGTTCCATGATAAGGTCACCTGCTTGGTGGAGGAAGGCATTCGATACCATCCCTCATGGCATCCTTCTGGACTAATTGTCCACCTGTGAGATAAATGGGTCACACTATGCTGGGTGATGAACTGGCTCAATGGCAGAGCTCAAAGGGCTGTAGTAAATGGGGTGATACCTGGCTGGGGGATGGTCACCAGCTCTGTCCCCAGGGCCCAGTTCTAGGCCAGCTGTGTTTAACGATGTTATCCATGGTCTGGGCGCAGGAGTGGAGTAAATCCATTGATCTCTGAAGGTCCCTTCCTACTGCACTATCCCATCCCATCCCATCCCATCCCATCCCATCCCCTGCAGTCTACACGTAATACAAAGAATAACAAATCACGTCCAACTGCATCGCATTTACAGGTACATGAGCTCTGAATTATCTTAAGAAAACAGAGTATTCCACAAGTGTACTCAGGCATTTATTTATGTTATAGCAGAGCATCGTGGAATTTAAAGAAGGTGAAAATTATGCGCGATGGCACTCCTTTAAACAGCAACACACCTTGACTGTTTCCAAAATAAGCCTTATGGTAGCAAAGGACTTAGCAATTTTTAAGCAACAGAAGCTAAGAAGGTGAAAATTGGTAAAGTTGCCCTGAAATCTGGGACATCTCTGAGTCCATTCCAGTGGAGGACCCAAACTACATTTTGTCAAAGACTGAAGAATACTCATTAGCTTTTATTTTGCTGTACATTCCACTCTCCAAAACTTTTGTATGAAAAAAATAATATTAAAAAAAAAAAAAAAAAAAAGATCCATGTAATTCTTAGGCCTCAAGTCTTAGTCACTCAAGACTATCCAGACAGCAACTTTTCTTCTCTTTTAAGGACATGTAGAAAAGGCTCAGTCTGTCTCTTTGCACTGCAGCTTACATTAGAAAGCACGAGTGACTTTTACATTTCATTTGTTGTATCTCACTTGCAAAGATCTATCAGTCCTCAGGGAAGCAGGAAAGACTAAAACATCCAGTGTAAAAAATATGTGATATGGGACTCTCACTTTGTTGCAAGGAATAAAGGAGAAAGGGAACAGCTGGGATCTAAAACTGTGTTCTGCCAGGGAACAAGGAAAGCAGGATGTTCAATTGTTTAGGCCCAGTTAAACTTGCAGTAAGGATAATAACTGGATAATAGCTCCTCTGGAGTTAGTGGCAAAGAGGCTGTGTTATCCATAGGAAGGAGCTCTAAACTTTTTCTGTAACCTTACAGAAGGAATGACTTTTGCTGATATCACAACACTATGGCAAGATGCTAGACAAATTATCTGTAAAACTCGATATCGTTAATCACTGCTCAGGGTGAATGGCTGTGACAGTTGATAAAGGTCTGTACCCTGTCTCCAGAAATCCTTGCAAAGGATTTCAGCCTCCGTGTAACCGTGGACTCACAGGACTGCATACATCTCCTGAGTTTCTCAAGTGATTTCAGCAAAATTACACCAAATTTGACATTGGCCCATCTTGTCTTCTAAATATTCTTCTCTGAGAGATTAACAAAACCCTGTCTTTATCCTCCTATCATGAGATGGCTCCAGTACCATCTTGTCCAGTGATTGCTGGAAATAATTTTCCGGTAGTTGCCCTCTTTACTCTTGATCTCTTTGTCTGGTCATCACATTAGTAATTTTGTTCTTCTGTAACATGAATGTCCAGTTCATTTTCATTTCTATGCAGCTGATACCTAACTTAATTTCTTATTCTATACCATATTGCCCTCCTGAGCTCTCTATGAACTTCCATGGCCTTCCACCAGTAGTAATTGAATATCTCTAAATTTCGTAATATTCTTCTCCTTTGTACTGTAGAAGTAAGATGACCCTCACTTTGTGCTGGAGTGCCTTCCATACATGATTTGCACTTGTTCTGAACAAGAAGCTTTGTCTCTTGCAGCAAAAGCTAAATATATGCAATCTGGGATGCGTTTAATCATTGTGGAAGAGAGATTTTTCAGGTCAGCTGACGTAGCCTTTGCAATGTTGCTCTGAGTAAAAATTGCCTGAATTGGATTTCCAAGGAAGTTTTGAACTTAATTCAGGTTATTACTTGGAGACTAAGCGTGTCCAGAAATCTGGTATTTACGGGCATCAGATGACAGTGATTTCTTGGCTTGAAAGCTTGGTAGACTACATGAAAAATAAACAAACAAAAAAAAAACATTACTACACAGTGTGGTAAAATAATTATCTGCCCTGTACACTTTGAAGGAAATGAACCCTCTGAAGGCAGCTAGTGAACCATGAGTGTAAAGAGAAAAGACAGCAATCACCTTGCGTGCAGTGGGGTGGGAAAATCTACCAACAGCCAGCATAAATGGTTGGGATTTCCTATGTTCATAGTTTTCACATCTCATAAATATGGTACTAATACTGGGGTGTGTTGTCTCAAGTGAGATGTGCCTGGTCTCAGATATTTGTTGATGGTTGTGTTTTTATTTTATCCCCTGGATAAAGCTTATCAGCAGCATTTACCAGTCCATGATAGCCAATATTTATTTTATCACTATATGAAAAACTTGGGATCAACTTTGCCTGATGGCAAAAAAAATACATAATTATTTATTTTAACAGAGTCATCTCTGCCAATGTTGAGTCACAAATTAGCGTTCAGTTAATTCATCTACAGCAGAGGATAGGGAAGGAATATGTAACGGCTCTCAGATTTCACAGACACAAGAATATATAATATTCTCAGGATGTCTCACTGTGACACAAAAGGTAATATATATGTGAATGCATTCAGGGGATATATGTGCCACAAGCACTACAGAAATTCTGCTTTTTGTCTAAGATTTTGAAAGATCTTGGAGAAATGTTTCTGTTTGCTCATAAATACAGTTTTACTTTAGGAACACTTGAACCTTTCACAGAGTGATAGGCTAATCTCTTGCTGCTTGCCATGTATTTTTAATAAAGTCTGGACAAAGCCACAGCTGAATTTTGTTATTGAAGAAGGCTGGGCAAAATGATTTAACACAAGTTATTTAGTAAATCAAACCTTGGGAAACAGTGGAAAGGATTGAAGAGCTGAGCGAAGGTTGATTTCCACATCAGAGTGCTAAGCAATGAACAATGATAAGGCAGAGTTTAATTTAGTAATGAACAGAAGTTATCAATAACCTACTGGTTTTACACCACTGATAACAATATAATTAGATTTGAAATCAAAAGATGGAGATGAAAAAACTCAATTAGTAAGATAAAAAATGTAAATGGTGGAAAGTGCAGTTTACTGGATTAAAGGAAGTATGAAAGGTTAATTGGGAGCAAGAACTAAAGGAAAACTATTAGCAAGAATCTGGAACTGTTCAAAACAGTGCTGGGAAAATTACATGATAAAGCTGGGAACTGCACACCTAGGAAAGATAAGGAAATTACATACAGCCATCCCCTCTCTGCACAGACTAAGGAGGAAAGATATAGCAAAAATTCTATCTGTGGAGAAGGGAGGGTGGCAAAGCACCCAGCCAGCTAAGAGACCTGCCCTGGGCACTGCATCCTCCCCATTCCCCACTGCAAATCCTGCAGAGCTTCCATCCCTGAGCCCAAGATGCAAAAGAGCTTTGCTGGGGTGGGGGCATGTCCTGCACCTGCTCCTGGCTGGGGATTCACAGTGGGTGCACAGTCTGACCACAGCCAGGTGAGGACAGGCAGACCTGCAGCACCCTGTGCCCAAGCTGGGTGGCCACAGCTGCTGGCTGGGGGCTGCAGCTCAAGCACATGAAGCCACTCCATTTTTTCCTTGTCTCTCCTTACTTTATTTCTCTTTCACTTTTTGTTAAAATAGGGATGATTGAAGGAGGAAGGCAGCTGGAAAGAATGGAATTGGATGGATTCGGATCCATCTTCCTGAATAAAATAAAATCTAACACCCCCTTCCCCAAAGCTGCCCAAACAATCAGTCTTTTCTGAATTGAAATATTTCACAAGAATACTAAAACAAACAAACAAACAAAAAAACAATATTATGATTTTTCATCCTATGGAAAGTTCATTTCACTAAATGTGGGAAAACTCAAGACACAGCTGAACTGAATTTTCTAGTTCTCTGCTGATGGGAATGGGAAATTATTAAACCAGTCAAATCAGATTTGCCTGGGAGAGAACTCAGTCTTGCTGTGGTTTCCTTCCAGCACAGAAATGATCTCTCCAGTGTAACTGGAAGTGGCCATAATGCATGCAGAGATTACAATAAAATGAATTTTTGACCTGGCCGTGAAGCTCCAAATGTAGTTATGGTTTGAATTTGTGGACCTTAGCCTTAACATATACTGCAAAACTACAAACTTCTTGTTTCATAAGGCTTGGCTAAGCAAAAAATTACTTATAAATATAAGGTGCAGTTTCACTTCAGTCATGAAAAGAAATAAAAAAGTAAATGTTCCCTGCAACTCACACATTGTGAAAATTACTTTTTCAGGTATTTCTCATGTTGAGATGAGTTTTCTAAGCCTAAAAACCTCAGACTCATAGAACTCCAATCAAAGCTCACATAAAGCCTGAGAGGCAGGTCCACATGAACCTCATGAAATTCAACAACTGTGAGGTCCTGCACTGGGGCCGGGGCTCTCCCAGGCACAAATCCAGGCCTGGCAATGAGTGGATAGGGGGCAGCCCCACAGAAAGGGACCTGGGGATGGTGGTTGATGAAAAGCTTGATGTGAGCTGGCAATGTGTGCTTGCAGCTCAGAAAGCAAACCGTATCCTGGGCTGCAACAAAAGCAGCACAGGCAGCAGGGTGAGGGAGGGGATTGTGCCCCTCTGCTCTGCTCTGGTGAGGCACCATCTGGAGCCCTGCACCCAGCTCTAGGGTCCCAGCCCCAGAAGGATGTGGGGCCATTAGAGCAGGTCCAGAGGAGGGTCACAAAGTTGATCAAGGGGCTGGAGAACCTCTCCAATGGAGACAGGATGAAGGAGTTGGTGTTTGGCCTGGAAAAGAGAAGGCCCCAGGGAGACCTCACAGCAGCCTGCTAGTGCCTGAAGGGGGCTGCAGGAAAGCTGGGGAGGGTCTCTGTGTCAGGGGGTATGGTTATAGGACAAGGGGAATGACTTTAAACCAAAAGAGGATAGGTTTAGGTCAGACATTTGGAAGAAATCCTTCCCTCAGAGGGTGGCGAGGCCCTGGCACAGGCTGCCCCGAGGGGCTGTGGCTGCCCCATCCCTGGCAGTGCCCAAGGCCAGGCTGGATGGGGTTGGGGGCAGCAGCTGGAATTAGGTGAGCTGCGAGGTCCCCGCCAACCCAAACCATCCTGTGGTTCTGTGAAAGTAGCACTTTGTTTCTGATGACAGGAATTTATAATAGATGCCTCAAAGGAAAGCTGGAGTGTGAAGTAAACAGATGAGGAATAATCTGCTCTGCAAATGAGGTTTTACCTTTATAGCTAGGGATTGCTTTGAGTGGTAGAACGTGAATTTTCATCTCTTCCACAGCATTTTTGTTATAACTAATTGCAGCCACTCTGGATATTCCTAATATTCATCTTAGCCACTAATTCTAGGTCTTGGCATCTTCTTAATTTCATTGACTCACTTAAGTGGTGAGTTCCATGGGGAAATCATTTGTTTTGCATATAAAAACATTTTTTTTTCTTTTTAAATTCTTTGAATGTTTTCATGCTGCAGCGTTGAGATGGGCAAATAAGAATTTCCCAAGCTACCTTCTCCAGGCTGTTTGTTATCTGCTAAAAGCTGATATTCCCATGACATTTGTCTCTTTTTCTGGGTAATCTGTCCTCACCTTTTTAGCCCCTTGCTCACCAAATCTGGTATTTTTTTTTTCAAGCCAGAATCTTATTTTACCTCCTTTCCTTGAATCCCTGCCAGTTTTACATTTTTCTTCTGCAATGAGGTGTGCCAGGCATATTCCAGGTGAATCTCACTGGTGCCTTGTTCAAAAGCCTTTAGTTTTTGTCTGGTTCACCCTTCTGACCATTACATACTTCAGCAAATCTGCTTTATGGACCACAGACAAACATCAAGCAGTTTTCTATTATACTTCAGTGCAGGTTACTTTTTTTTTTTTTTTAAGTTTCTCCAGTAATATACATCTAGATGCCAATTTTTAAGAACTTTCCAAATGAATGGAATATGATTTCCCTGATTGTTATATAACCTGTGTTGAATGAAGAAATTGTAGTCATTCTCCAGAAGAACTGCCTATATTGTAAGAGCACTTTTTATAGGTGTTCAGCATGCCCTTTCATCATATAGAAGTTACAGGGATTGTGGAGAAGTGGAGACTAGCGTTTGGGCATAAATGAGCCATGTTCAAACATAACAGCTACATTAAATATTCTCAATACCTTTTCCTTTCAAGTTATGAAGCCCTTTGAAAAGTCCTTCTGACTTTTATCACCTCCTGACGCTGTAGTAAAATGCTGTGAAGAGCAACTTTCTTTAGGCTTTTCCTTTGCATCAATAAACTTTATTTTGAAAAGTTTTGTCTCAGAATATTTCAGGCAAGACTATATCAGATGTTAACTCTTGTTTTCTTGCACTGGTGTTCAGATTCCTCTTTGCTGAACTTAGGCCACAATGGAAAGAGGAAATGGAGAGCACTATTTTTTTTTAAACAAATTACCGAGAGCATCTATGTCTCCAGAGCTACAGCAATTCACAGCATGCCCTCAGAGGTTCTCACGTGGAACATAAGAAAGCAAACTGTGCTAGAAGCAGGCTAAAGCACATAATAAAATCATAAAAGACTGTTTCTAAGGAGAAATGGGAGGGCAGGAATAGCAATGTTTTGGAGCATTTGTATTTACTTGCAGGGATATAGACATTTTAAAAGTGTCACCGTTCATCTATCTACTCACTTAGTGAGGGAGACGCAAAAAGGAGAGACAAGTAAACCCACCAGTCAGCCTGATCTTCCTCTCAACCCACTCACCACCAGCCCAGCTCCTCCTTGAGCACAGTTTCACAGGTCCTTCAGCAAGGAGCACGCACCCGGAGTGGCACAGCTTTGATACCCCAGGTACTCTGGGAAGAGATGACGGCTTCTGTTCCTGGCTGACGGCTACGAGGGGTGCCTCAGCTGGAATCATTGCTGCTTTGGATTACTCTAAGGCAAATACAAATTTGGGCTTAGTTAGTAAAACCCCATCTTAATTCTTCTGCAGACACCATAAATATGTTTAAAGAAGAGAAAATACAACTGTCGTCATTATACTTGAATAAACTAAGCTTAAATAGATGCAAAATCCAGTGTGTTATGCAACAGGCATTTCTTTCATTATTTAGTTGGACCTGTTGGCTATTTACATTTAATTTGTCCTTTTTATGGGAGAGAGTAATTAACCCAAGCATTCTTGCCAACCAAATAGCGAGGACTTTGTACTGGAGCAGAGCAAATTAAACTTTGATGCGACAACGATGACTGCCAGCTACTTAAAGGTGAATCATAAAGGCTTTAAAAACCCTGCTCGCAAGATTCTCAAATGTGAACAGAAGCCTTTGGCTTTAAATGGTAATTAGCACTGTAGTTAAACAGAATTTGAAATTAAAATGAGGACCCACACATTTTCCTGGAAGTTGATCTTCGCTGCTCTGGCCAAGACAACTATTTCATAATAAACCTGCTGGAGTCTGAAATAACGTTTCATTTCCAACCCAGGGCTTTCTGCGCCTGGGGATTAAAACCTGGTGGCATTTGTCTTTGGTCTTTTAGGACAGCTGCTCACTGCATTCAAGTGATTCCCTGCAAAACCAGGTCCAGTCTGCTGGAATTTCAAGATCAATATAAGAGCCATCCTGTCTCCCCTGCACTGCCAAGCACCCTATGGGCCACGGCTACACGTAACAAAATTCACACCTTCAGAGCAAAGCGTACTTGCACAGGAATGGCACTTTGCTGGAAAGATTGGTGGCCTTATGTCTGTGCTGGAGACATTTCAGAGGGCCTCCAATACGATGCCACCATTATGTGTGTACTGGGGCTCCTGGTGCAACAAATGATGCCATTGGTATTTATGGAATTGCCATAAAAAAAAAGTTTTCCATGCAGATAGTGTTCCCATTTTGATTCTTTGGAGAGCAGTGCTATAACTAGGCTCAGATGCTTGCTTGTAAGCAGGCTGTTTGTCCATCCCCACACAGGGCTCACAGTGCTTGCAGATTTTTGGGTGGAAACCTCATCTCTTGCTCTCGCAGCCTGCCCGGGTTAGCCAAGCAGGTAATGTGAGTAGACATTATTACTAACAAGGTTATGCATAAAGTGACAGTTTGCACACTCTGCGAGTCTTCTATGAATACTGCTGCCTTCGCTATACAACAAATATATACTTCACAGCTTAATGAGTGATAGCTGAGCGTGGTGGAGCAGACAGCATCATCAGCTGGGAGACGGCTAGCTTCATCTCCAGTTTGTGCTGTAATTTCCTTTGGGCTTTGCACTACTTAATATCTTCTGGGATGATAATAGCATCTGAGAATATTCTCAGTATTCCTCTTGTTACTCTGCTAGTAGTGGGCTCCATTGCTTTTTCACTGCTCCCCATCCAAAGCTGCATGCTGAAGGCAGCTTAGTATTAATATTGTGCTCGAAACTTTCCCTAGGATTGTGCCAGGATCTGTTCAAGTACTTGTTCTTTCTTCCAATGCATTTATCACCTGAAGACCGAGCACCACAAGTACTTCTGCATGCACTGAGATGTGTTTTGAGACTTAGAGACCAAACGCTAGAACTCCAGTCCAAAGTGAGAAAGCAATGATGCCCCATGGTGGAGTTTCAGACCCAAAGGGAACTCGATTACCAGAGCACCTGTCAAAGCAGCTTTGAATCAAGAAAGAGAACGGCAACTAGGGTCTTGGATTAAAAAGAAATCCACTTTACAAAGTGGACAAAGGTTTAAGGGGCAGATGAAAAAGCCAAAGAATGTTATGTTGTCCACATTTTTCTGTGCTGAAGCTTTCCAGAGTGGGCAGGTGAGCTCAGGCTGCACCACAAGCCTTTGACCTCTATTGGCAAGGGCTGAAGCAACTCTTGATTTGAATTCAGAAACAAGAAAGTTTCAGAGTTTCAGAACCCAAGGGCCCAAAAGGGTAGCAATAAACAAAAGAAAAGAACTGGGAGCCCCTTCAAAAGACAGCAATTTGCCAAGTGCCAGCCAGGCAGATCCAGTCCCTGGAATGAGCCCAGAAGTTTCTAAATCCTGCAGAAAACTGCAGGTGGTCCCCTGGTGCATCACATCTGCATTTTGACCTGCTTTCTCAGCCCCATGCCAACCCTGATCCTGCAGTGCCAAGCAACAGCTCCAAGACTCAGACAGGCTGAAGGGATCTTTGCTGCTTCAAGGCAGCTTACGCATCTACCCCAGATGTTTCACATGAACCCACTTGGCATTTTTTTTTTGTCCATTGTACTTTGTAGAGGAGACTTTCTACAGAAGTTAAACCTTTGAGTTTTTCTCCAGCTCTCCCCAAACAGAATGAATCTGACAGGTGAAATATACTCAGAGCCATATACTATAATTTTCAGTGATTTACAACATGCGCTCTGAACTGGCTGGGTGCCAAGAACATTTGAAGATTAAGGAATAGGAAAGAATTAACAGCAGTTATAGGGCATAATAGCTTGCTCCAGCCTTGAAGCTGAGGTTTGACACACTTCACTAGAGTTGTTTTTTTCTTCTCCTTTGCAGTTCTTGACAGTCAGCAGTGTTCCTGCATTATTTAAATTACCAGAAACAGTAGTTGGAGGCATCAGTAACCCCAACTTCAACATTTAGGTTTGCCAGGATTTTTTTTTTTTTGGCATTTACTTCACTCAGGACTCACCCCCACATGAAGGATCTGTCCCTCACAGCCCGTGGTTCAGGTGCAGTACTTTGTGCAGCTCCGCATGAGGTTTGCTGCACTACATCAGCACACGAGCTGCCTGCATTGCTCCCATGGGTGCTGCGGTACCCAGGCAAAGATGCAGGCTTGTTCCCAGGTAATGACTTCTTCCTCTTTGATTGAGATAGCAGAGCTTATTAATAGGTGATATGGAGACTGTTGGAGTCTAAGCACCAAACCTGTTCCAAGCTGGTGAGAGCTGCTCCCAAAAGACATAATCTTTGGGATCTTTGCAGATAAACGTGCTGTAAAAGGGAGAGTCTTGCTAGTCCAGGAGGAAATATCACAGCACTAAGTTGCCTTCACATTCTTTACTCATTACAGTATTAATTGCATAAATGTAATTGCAACGACCAAAGTGAAAGCTTCTTCCACCACTTCACCAAAGAAGATGCCTGGGGGCTCTTGCCTAGATTTTGCCTGTCTGCCAATGTGCGCCAGCAACTTCCCACCAAGGCAGATTGCCTTTCAGCATTAAACATCCAACAGTGTTTTCCACTTAAAGTTCTCTACTCACTCAGTAGAAACTAGATTGCAACCAAGAAGTTGTTTCTCAGAGGTTATTATCCACCACCTATGAGTGCTTCAGTTGACTGTTTAGGATAATGTTCAGTGCAGCTAGAGACCCAGACATTAAAAATAGAGCTCTCTCCTTTTATCGGCCCCCCCGATATAACATTATCTTCCACAGTGCTCTGCCTTATGTCTGCTCTAAGGTCAGTATTTAGTGTTCATCAATGTAGTCTAGTGATATCCTCAATTATCTTTTATTTTCACATTAATGATCTTTGGAACGGGCTCTTGAGACATAAAGTACCAATTTAAATATATTTTTTTCCTGTGGCTTCCAGGAAAAAAAAGCTTCTTTGCTGTTTTATTGTCTTGCTCTCCATCTGACCCTCCACAAACAAGCACACACATTTTACTCATTTTATGGATCATTTTTTTTCCCAACCCCAGGAGCTCATGACAACTGTAATTTTTGTTTTTAAATACAAACTTCCTTACAGGTGAAGATAATTTAAAATCTCCGTCTGAGGTCTGGGATGAAATTACTTGCAAACAAACAAGTGAGAATTGAATTTATCTCAGGATATCTGAGAACTGATTATCTTCCATACGCATCTTTTGTCCTATCTCCAGAGTTCCTTTTGCTTGCAAAAAATATTTACCAATTGGTCCCCTTCTTATTCTTGTCTTCTACTCTATGTATAATTATTTAACTAACAAATTAGTTTAGATATACATCAAAGCTCTTGCCCCTGTTTTCAGTAGATAAATCATCCTGATGAAAATGAACTTGGATATTGTTTTATAAATTTGATCTTTTCACTTCAACAATTTGACTCACTAATACAAAAACAAGTTTATTACAACTTCTTTGGTTATGGACTGAACAGTATTTTCCCATTTTGGCAGTAAGTATTAGTTTGTCTAATTGTTTTTCATTGCTTTATTTGAAAATAGAGCAGGAACATAAAATAGGAAATAAAAATGTTTTATTAACTATCCATTCTAATAGGAACAGCATTTACTATTCATAGCAATATTCATAAAATTACTTATCTTAATTCCTCAATCATCCCCTGTGCAAATGCTTGGAAAATGAATGAGCTAATTAAAGTAGATGTTAGTGGAACAAGGACATTGGGGCTCACTTTGAACAGGGAAAAACTTCATGCAGCTCATTAAAGCTCTGAGTTTTGAACATGGCTGGGGGAGATACCTGTTTCCTGAGAGCATCTGCAGTGCCTTTTCCTCTGGTATGTTCACCACCCAGGTAATGTGGGCATCAGGAGCACAGCAGGAACCCCTACAGCAGCAAAACAGCTCTGCTGAGTGACAAGCAACCTCCCCAGGCATCCCCTGGGCTGCCTGCCTTGAAGAGAGCTTGGATCCCAAAGACAATTACAGACCATTCTGTGACCAGCCACACAGCCCAAACTGAAGATAGCACAAGCAGCACTGGGAAAACTCAAGAAACAAGAGAAGGGGATCTAAAACATAAAAGGACAGCAGCCTCTCAAGGCTAACTCTGTAAGTTTCTGGAATTAATCAGAGCCAAGGGAGACAGTTGTTGGTTTGGCACAAACTGTGCCCAATTTGTTCCACTTATAAGGGACATAGATAGGAGGAGGGTGAGAGGCCAGCCACCCCCCTGCCTGCACCAAAGGCAGCTGGATCGCCCCTGCAGACCCACCTCTGGGCTGGCAAAGGCTGCAAGGATAGCTGAGGTCTCTTGGGAAAGACCCCCAGAGAAACAGAAAGCCAGTTATTTCATCAGAAACCTCCACGGCAGCCCTTGCATCTTCACACTGAATTTAGACAGAGCTGAAATAAACCTCCAGAACTGCTTTAAGATCTATGGCTCAGCTGTTCTGCTTACCAGGAAAATATGTTCCTGTTGAGAAGAACCAACACCCATCTCTACCAGCCTGCAGAAGAAGCTCCCTCTGCCATATAGCAGGCTTTATAGCTGCCTGAGCCCCACCTTCTGTGAGTTATAGCCAACAGCTGACCAGAGGGTGTTTTTTTTGATTGCTAATCAACCATTTCTGAAAGCAGTTTCTAGGTTTTCACTTGTGATGGAGGATACTACAAATCTAGTGTAACTGTCCTGGAAGAGTCATCTTCAGTAATATTGTGGGCAACTCATAATTAGGAGAAATGAAAATTTGAAAGCATAGGAGTCTTTATTATTTATCTTTCATTAAATCAAGAAGCAGCTCTGAAAGTCTTATTTACCCTTTGTCTGGTGGGTAAGGACCAACCAAAGTGGGTAAGGACCATGCAAATATTGCATGCTCTGTGAATTACTCCTGTTGGTGTTGAGCCTCGGGTAAGGCTCCATGGTGTGATGGACAAACTGAAGTGAAACCTGGCTCTTCTCTTTGGATCTGCTTAGGAATTGCTGATCCTCTGTGAGCCTTATTTGCTCACATATTAAATTTGAACAATAGGACAGATCTGTATTTGTGAAAGAATTTATGGGTGAAAAGTCTTCTATAAAGACAAAATATTGCTAATAGGATGGCATGGAAATTTCACAGTGATATTCAAATATTATTTTTTGAGTAACAGCAATATTCAAGAAGATTTATTCAGTTACAACATCCTGGTCTCAATGGTGGTTTGGTTGCACTCTCCAGGCAGGCAGTGGAAACATGACTAGATAACAGCCCTCAGGATGCTCCCATCTGAGCCTGTCAGCCTCAAGCCTGTCCTTAACCAGGGGACATTTAAGGTGCTCTTCCACCTCCAACACCTGCATTGCAATGGGAAGTGTTTTGTGATGACATTCCTCAGGCTGTGAATTCTAAGGGAAATCTAGATGACAAGGTGTAAGATATATATATTTGATATCCCATATGCATATATGTAGACATCTGCTTTTGATCAGACAAGTCCCACATCTTGTGCTTGATAGCGGTACTTCAGTAACATAACTCTCACAAATTGTCCTTGATAGGAATGCACTTTAATAGAGGATCAGGAGATCCTTAGAGGTAAAAACCTCTCTGAAAAATGAACACGAAGAAACTTGTAGCTCACCATAACCATAGCATGATGACTCTTTGTCATAACTCACCTACTGGTAGTCAATATTAATACAAGCTAAGATCAGTCCTTATCTCTTTCCAGCCTATAGATCACGATGAAGAAAACGCAGCTGATATTGGAAACTGGTAAAACAGACATTAAGGCAACGCTAAGATAAAAAGCTGTGAAGGCGAGACAAAGAAAAGAGTGACCTTCATTTAGCTGCTGCTCATCAAAGTGCCTCAGAAAAGCAGCCTGGAGAGGAGGACTTCCAGCACCTTTCTGAAAGATCGCCCAGCTCCTGCACAGGGATGCTGTCATAGCTGGGAGTAAGAGTGGGCTGAATGACAAAATATGCAAAATGCCATAGATAATTGAATAGTTAATATGCTCATTTATTCAAGTTCTGTAAACCTCAAAATAGCATTTTCAAGTGTTTTAATTTTTTCTTCATCAGTTCCACACAGACTCCTTCTGGACTTAAATAGCTACTGAACTGAGACTATTTAAAGGGAATGAGAAGTCTGGTGTGCCCGGGGCCCTACAGCCCTGCCCATACAGGACCACAACTGCAGCAACCTCCAACCTGCTGCTCTGCAGTGAAGGTCCGTGGGGCTTGGTGCTCTGCTCAGAGCATCGAAGAGATTCACTGCACACAGCATTTTGGAGTGAAACTCTTCCATCAGTGACGTGGATAGGTTTCCCAAATTTTATTTCACTTTTATCTCTACATATTAAATCCCCACTTGCACATGAAGATAAAGTGACTGTGCACTGATGTAGCACATCCATGTGCAGATGCTGTTTAAGCATGCACCTACCATGCTGCTCCACGCCAGCGAGCACATTTCCTTAATCTCACATGCATATTTATGACAACATAAAACACAAATGGAATATATTTAGTTCTTTGTCATAGAGAATGACTCCCTTAAGCTATCTGAGGTGCTGGTCTTTTGTTTTACTTAAATCCTTCTGCTCAACTGAACGGGCAAAAGCTCTGACCTGCAGGATCTTCAGCTTCGTGGAAGTGCTGTGCATGCAGCCACACTGGGAACGTGATCATGCATCATGTCCCAGTGTGCTTGTGGCTCTGCTTCACTGCTGGCTGCTTGCTGAGGGATCAACACTTTGGAAAATGCAAATCTTGCTTTAAAATTGAGGGCCCTGCATCTTTCTAGAGTGGAGTTACAACAGAGGTCAAGGTCATGGCTGGGCCCTTTTGCTTCTGGGCTGGCACCCAGCAGTGATGTTGGTCCCCTACAGGGTTTGCACTGCTCAGGGGCAATGGTGAGTACTCTCCTATCAGTTGGTTTTGAACAACTGAAAATTCTTAAGGGAAACTTCTTAATTCTTATGGAAAACATGAAGTACATTCCCTTCTCCTAAAAAAATAAAAAAATAAAAAAATTAAGATTGGTGTAAAATTGAAGAGATTAAAAAATAATAATAAATTAAAAATAAATAAATAAAAAAGCATGAATTCCCTTTTATCTACTTTCTTGTTCCTCGAGGAGCATGGTTTCCATCTGCAGACTATGTCCAAAAGCCAGGCTCAGGTGATGATGTACCTGCAGAAGATGGAGCTCTGAGGAAGGAAAAACACCCCCCAGCTACTTGGGCACACATGCAAGGCAGAAGGGCTCAGTGTCGGTGTGCCCTTCACAGTTAGGTTAATAACATTTGGGGATGTATAGTAGGACAGGCTGAAAGCTGCCAGCTTCATCTTGCACAGATACACAATGGCTTTAAGGGTTTATACCAGATAGAACAGGTGAATGATCCTGGCCTGGGCCCTTCATATGGGGAAGAAATTGATTGCAGAGAATTGCTAACTGCAGCTTAATGCCCTGGTTAAGAGGGAAAGAACACTGACTCTGCAGGCAGCAGTGCTCTCCTGGGCTTTGAATTCCTTGAATAGTTCAGTGTGAGAGAATTTTCTGTGTGTAAATATTTACCTGTCTATTCTCCTGCTTGGCAGGTGAAAATTAAACCAGCAGTCTGGGTGTGTAGCACAGGTCTCCAGAGCCTTTTCCTGTTCATACAAGGCTTGTCTGTGAAACAAGTGCCTTGTGTAAAGACATCACACCTGTGGCATGAAGGAAGGACGGGTTAACCAGCCCAAGAAGAAGCCTCTGAGAAGCGTGTCCTCTCTGCTTGCTCCTGTGGCCACCAGTGCCATGCCTTGGCAGCACTCACCTCTGCCAGGGGAAGCAGCTGGGATGCAGTGAACATCCCCTGCAGTAATATAATGTGGACAGTCTGCAGTAAATATGGGGTTCACAGAAGCCTCCTCACTCCCCAGTGCACCTAGAGCAATGTTTTCCAAAAAGTGCATTGCTTCCATGCTGGAGAAGGGTATCACTTGGGTAGGATGAGACCAGATCTCAGGCACTCACGTATGTGAATACAGGCAACGATTTCCCTTGCTTCAGCTTCCCTGTAATTCCTCTGTGTATGTGTGTGTTTGTGCAGACACCAAATGCAGCAGGAGAAGGTTGTGCAACTTGCCAGGGTCAGAGCAAGTCTGCCCACAGCCCAGCCCTTGGGGCAGGTTGCTGAAGCAGGTTTTGTTCTCCCACCACAGGGCCCTAAACCCTGACCAGTTGCACTCAGTTACTCCTCTTCCCACTCCCTGATCTGATGAGCGACGCCCAGCACACACCCATGGTTAAGCCCTTTGAATTTCTCTTACTACAGACAAGTGGGAACAATTTGAAGAGAGAAGTTTGGATCTGGCAGGAATGGATTTTCCTCATTGTTAGCCATTGGGGAATGAAAGAGGAAGAACTCTTCTGCCGTGTAATGAATTATGCCAAAACAATTGCACAGAAATTGTACAAATAATCAAAATAGTTAATGTTAGCAATGACAAACTGAGCTGCATTCTCTTGTCTAGGATCCGTGTTCATGTTTTGCATGGCTGAAGCTGTTTGCTGAATTCAGCCTGAACTCGCAAATAGCTGCGGCCACTCTGTGATTGCATTCCTCTTGAGAGATTAAGTGATAAATGAGGAAATAAAAACTGCCCGACTGCATCAGGAGGTGAGGTTCGTGCTCAGACCTGAGTGCAGAGCTGCTCAGCATCTGCATGGGGTCGGCAGCCGCCCCAAAGCAAGTGTCAGCGTGCAAGGTGCTGGCAGGCTGGTCAGGCACTGACAGGTGTCAGGATGCACTTCTGAGCCTCTTAGTTGTTCTTGCCTTGCCTTTCCATGAGCTGCACTTTCTGTTAGTTTGTAATTGCAGGGAGTAGATGGAGTGTCAATAGGAGAAGCTCCATGGAGACTTTTGCTTGAGTCATGGGGAAAAAAAAAATAAAAAAATAATATAGCAAGCTATGATCCTGCTGTGATTTGCAGATTTGCAGTGCTTTTATATTATTATTTAATAAAAATATAAAATAAAATAAAATAAAATAAAATAAAATAAAATAAAATAAAATAAAATAAAATAAAAGATTAACAAGCCATCATGCAGAGGAAACTGTACCTTTTGCACCCCAAAGGGTGCTGCTTGGGCACCCATGGGCTACAGGACCCCAAAGGGAGACCTTCACCTCTACCTCCACTAAGCCTACACCAAGGAATATGCACCCCCTGCATTTTTCACAGGGAAAAGATAGTGGTATGCTCTGAAGCACAAATCAAAAGAAATGCTAGATAAAGAAAATGCCAGATAGCTCCATGTAAAGTTCCATGTATCATGCATAGGACCGAACAACAACAGAGTTTGGGCAACAACCCAAAATCCAACAAATCCAAACCCAAATCCAAATCCAACAACAGAGGTTAGGATATGGTTTAGTGGGGACTGTTAGTGTTAGGTCAGAGGTTGGACTCGATGATCTTGAGGTCTCTTCCAACCTAGAAGTTCTGTGATTCTGTGATTCTGTGATCTTGATTGAAATTCCTGTTTTCTATCATGCATAACTGGCAGTAGCCAAGCCAATCCGCACTGTTGGCAGCCTGATCC